TAAAGAAATTAGCTTGAGACATTTAATTGTCCACTGACACGGCAGGAGAGCTCCTGCTCCTCCCCATATTTTCCCAACACCATAAAACGCCAATCCAGACTTTTAACCCCTCAGAAATTCACTCTGCAGAAGCAAAACTTTGAGTTCTTATTTCAGCAAGTCAGAAAATTGAGGAACCTCAGGAGTTGTGGGTGAGAAGCACAAGGAGCTGCTCAGTTGCCTGCTGAAGGTTTGGGAGGAACAGGAATTCTGTTCGGCCAAAAGGAAGGGAAATTATGGAATCCTTTAGGTTGGAAAACATCTCCAAGAACATCCAGTCCAACCATTCCCAGCATTGCCAAGGCCACTCCTGCCCCGTGTCCCCAAGTGCCACATCCACGGGGATTTGAAATCCTGCCAGGCATGGGGACTCCTGGGCAGCTGGACCAGGGCTGGACAACCTTTCCATGAAGGAATTTCCCCAAATATCCACCCTGAGCCTCCCCTGGCCCAGCCTGGGGCCGTTCCCTCTCCTCCTGTCCCTGTTCCCAGATCCCAAATCCCCCCAGCTGTCCCCTCCTGTCAGGCTCCTGCAGAGCTACAAGGATTTGCAGATCCCAGGGCTGCTCCTGCAGATCCCAGGGCTGCTCCTGCTGCCCCATTCCAGCTCCAGCTCCTCTGGGATCTTTCCCTGCTTGTCCTGCAGGAAGTTTTTGGGTTCTCAGCCAGAGCTGGAGCAACTCCTGGAAGTTCAGGGCCATCACACAAAAGCAGCAGCAGGAGCAGGATCTCCCTTTTTGGGACCTCTCAGACCACCTCAACCATTACTAAACCAGCCTGCAGTTAATTCCAAGCTATTCCAACCAAAAATCAGGGATATTTAGTCCCCACCTCATCTCTGACCACACATACCCACCCTTTTTCCCCACACAGCAGCCCTGGTTCTCCTCCTAATTCACTGAAAAACAACAACCCCCCCCCCAAACTCTCATCTTTTTCCCTTTAGTTTTGCATGCTCAGTATGGTGGCAAGTGCCTGTAACAACCCTGACTGGTGCATCCCTTCAGGGAACAAAAGGAACAGCAGGAATTGGGCACTTCTGGAAATGACAGCGGGTATGGAGCTGCCCCTGTTCAACGCCAAAGTGTGACCCCCCCAGCTCTTCCACGTTTGGGATCAGAAGATCTCATTCTCTCACATTTCACTCCAACGTTATAAAGGCTGAATTAACAAAACCTGTTCTCTTTCAGCTGCTAATCAAGCTTTTCAGCCTCAATCTTTTCTTCTCGGGAGGCATTAAAATAGTGATTTTGGAGAAAATCTGTGTGAATCAGCATTCCCTCCACCAAAACCACCCCGTAAGCAGCTTAATGCAGGATATTGTAACAGTCACAAAGCTTCAGCTGATCTTAAGTTAGAGATATTTTCTTTCCACTTTATGCCTGGAACAAACTTCTGACATGTTGGAATGTGAGAAATCACGTAAAAGTAAAAAAGAACCCTGACACAGGTTATTAATCCTAAATTTAATATATATTCAAAAGCTTTTTTTTTTTTTTTTTTCTTTGTCTGTCCTGTATTCAAATCGCTTCTGCAAAAGTGAAGCAGCACTTTTGGTGAATTTAGTTTCACTTTCTGGCCTCCAGCCCTGTTTTCTGAAGAGCCTTCCTGTGCAACTCAACAAGTTTCAGAGTTGTACTGGCCTTTGAGGGCCGTGTCTGTCACTCACTCTCTGCACCATAAGGTTTTAGGATCGTTCCTGAGGGAAGGATGAGCTCCTGTGCATCCCTTCAGAACAGTCAGCACGAGGTTTTTTGGGAGAGAAGGATGGCAAAGAGGGCAAGAGCCACCAGTCTGACACCTTCCCGTCCATATTTTGATTATCTGCAGCTCCTCCAAGTTGACACCAGAGCTACGAGGAAATGCCATGCTCAGGAGAATTCCCACTCTGCTCCCTAAATTCATAAAATCCTGGGATGGTTTGGGCTGGAAGAACCCTAAAGACCATCCAGTTCCAACTTCCCCCCATGAGCACGGACACAAACGGAGCTGGGAACTGTATCCAGGATGTTGCAACTGCTTAAATCACCCAGGGTGTGATTTTTTAAAAATGATTACTGTGTCTCCATGCAGGTGCAACAGTTGCCTGGGAATGAACTCCAGGTGCTGCTGCTCCTGAACTCATCCAGGGATGGCTCAAACACCGGTCCTGCCCCTCCAGCCCCAACAGAGACAAGGAATTCACCTCCAAAACAGCAAAGATGGAAACTCCTGTTCCTGTCTGAGACTGACACACAGCAAAGGCCTCGCCCACTGCACGACATCCACAAATGGAAAAAACAAAGGTGGCCATCTCCACATCCCAGTGGGATTCCCCATCCCAGTGGGATTCCCCATCCCAGTGGGATTTCCCTGCCCTGGGGCTGGCTCTGCTGTGCTGGGACACTGAGCAGGATGTGACCAAAGCTCAGCCCCACAGGACACAGAGCCCACGGAATACTGGGATTATCACAGGATATTGGGGCTAATTAATGAAAAAATGAACAGAAACTCCAGCCAAACATCCCAAAGGCCCCACTGGCTCTCCAACTTTGTAGAAAGCAGGAGTTTAATAGCCACATTTTTTGGGATCAGACCTGTGATTCCCTCTCGAGATACAAAACCACCCAGGCAGGTTCTCAGAACTTCTAAGATTAGCTCAGGACGTGTTGTCCCAACAACAGGAAGACTGCTCCATTAAAGTTTTGGTTTGGGAGGAAAAGAGAAAATAATTTAAAGAAAAATGCCCATATATTCAGGAATTTCAAGAGGAGAAGCTTCATCTGTAAAATCTAATCCTGACACTTCCAGCTTGCCCTGGAAGCAACACCTGTCCCACAGATTTTACTTTTCCAAATTTTCATTTCTGACACATTTATCAACACTGTTGGAGCAGCAAAGAGCCCCGAGATTGGGACGTGGGGATAATTCGAGGAAAACTTAATGGAATATCCATTCATCAGCCCCAATTCCCCTCCCAAAAGGGAAAGAGCTAATCCTATTGGGATGGACAAATCCAACCCCCACCTACCCAACACTGCCATAAAGAGGCTTTTTTTTTTTCCATTTCCCTATTATTTCCCTATCATTATAATATTACATCCCCATTCTATCCCACAGCATAACTCCTATTATCCCCAAACACAACCCCCCCCCAACGCTCCCCGCGAATCCTGGGAATTCCACGAGCGAGCTCTCCCTGCCAGGACACCGCGCTACCTTTTTAAGCAAATTCCCTTTTGTTTTAACGACTACAAAAAAGATATTTAAAGGAAATAAAGCGATGTTTTAGCATATGTAACCTTATAAAAACAGGGAGGCGTCGCGCGCGGTCCCGCCCGCTCCCCTCACGGGCCTTCAGCCCCCGGGACGGACCCGAACGGGCCCCTGAGGGGAACGGGCGGCACCGCCGGTGCCCGCGGGCCTCCGGTCCCCACAACAAACTTGCGGCCCCGCGCAACAAGTTCCCGGGCAGGCCCTCGCCGCTCTCACCTCAGCCATGATCGCTGGTATTCCCGGGAAAGGGTCACATCGCCGGGAAGCGCCGCCGGGTCCCGGAGGGAGCGGCGGGAGAAGCGGGGACGGGACCGGGAGCGGCGGCGGCGGGGCGGGAGGGGCGTGGCCACGTTACGCACGACGTCACCGCGCACCGCGGGAAGCGGGCAGGGTGCGTGAGGGCGCTGTCAGTCAAAGGAGGCCACGCCCACATCGGCTGTCAGTCAATAGGAAAACACGCCCCCTCGCATGTAACACAGCGCTGGGTCAACCTGTCAGTCAGCGTGGAGGCCACGCCCCTTTCCCGTCACTTGGGGATTGGCCACGCCCCTGCCTGTCACTCAATGCATAAGCAAGGCTCGATCTGTCACTCAAACTCTAATGCCACCTCCTTACACGTCAATCAAAGCGCGCAGGCCACGCCCCCTCGTCTGTCACCGAGCCCACAGGCCCCTCCTGTCACTCAAACCGCAGAGCCACGCCCCCACCGCGCCGAGGCGCGGCCGCCGCGGACCCTCATGCCCATATATGTCATTGGGCACAAGCCCCGCCTCTCACGTGTCAATCAAACAAGCCCCGCCCCTCACATGGCAATCACGAGCGGGCCTCGCCCCCTCCGAGCTCATTCCATGCCCAGGCCACGCCCCGGGCGGTGCTGAGGCTCCCGCTCACCGCGGCCCCTCACGGTCCCTTTACGGTCCCCGAGTCCCTTTACGGTCCCCGAGTCCCCTCTGGCCCCGCAGCATCGCCGGCTCCGCGGTTCCGGTACCGCTCCCCCCCCGTCCTGCCCGGCCGCCGTACTCACGCGGGGAGCCGCAGAGGCGCGGGGAGTGTCTCATCGGCCGTGAGGAGAACGGGGGTTCCTCGGGGAACGGGGGCTCTTGCTGGGCGTGAGGCTCTTGAGTGACATAATAACAGGTCTAGGTTAAACATAAAACCCGCAAAACCACACGAAATAAACAGAAGAAAAGATCCAGGAGCAGCGGTAATTCACCGTGTCCTCGCTGCAGCCCCGGTGCCTCACCTGCCCGGCTCAGCGCTGTCCCCGGGCCGGCGCGGGGCAGCGCCCGGCGCGCACGTCGGGCATCGCGGCTGTGTCACAGCGAGGACACCGCGGCCCTGCCTGTGTGAAACGCCTGCGCCGTGCCCCTGCAGAGCCGCACGGCTCACCCGCGGAGCCGCATCCCCGACCCTCACACGGTCCCCGCGGGCGGTGCCGAAAGAACCGGCGGGCGCGACTGTGCTGACTCAGGGGTGAATCCCCGGCGGGAAGGCCGAGCCGGCGGCGGGGCTCTGGCGCGGGCAGCGCCGGTTCGGTGACACGGGACGGGGGCGGGACCCGAACCGGGGCCGGGGACGGCCCGGGGCTGAGGCCGCCAGCACAGCGCGACCCGCGCGCCGCGCAGCGACCAATCAGCGGCGCCCTTACTGACAGCCAATCACCGCGCGGCGTCTTGGGCCCCGTTGTCACGGTAACCGTGGACGCCATGCCGGGGCCGCGGCCTCCGCCGTGAGTGAGAGCGGAGCGGGCCTAAAACTTCAACTTTATCGGAATTAAAAAATGCTTAAAAACCTTTAAAATGCTTGGGAATAGATGATAAATTATAACACGTAATCAATTCTAATGGATCATTAATTATAATTGGTGAATGGGGAAAATCCCTTTGTTATATATGGCTTGCGTCCGTAAAATACTTAGTAATGCGTAATAATATGTAATAAATTGTAGTCTTTAATAATAAATTATATTTAATAAATTACATCACTGGCCAAAATTGTTAATTATAAATGCTTTACATCCCTTAAAATAAAGGGTAACATTTAATGAATATGTAATAAATTATATTTTATAATAAGTCGTGATAAATCAATGGTAAAAAGCCTTTATTATAAATGGTTTACATATTGAAATTAATGGGTAACAGAATGAATTTTAAGATAATAATTTAATTTTAATAATTTTAATAATAATTATAGTCTATAATAAATTTTAGTCTATAATAAATTATATTCTATAATAAATTATAAGGCATCAAAAGTCACGACAAATAATTAATCAAAAGCCCTTTTTACACATGGTTTAAATCCTTTACAATAATTGCTGATATGTAATTAATGATTATATACAATGAATTATAATAAAGGGCTACAGTCTTTTCTTATAAATTGTTAAAATCCTTTGAAATAATTATTAATATATAACGAATTATAATATATAATAAATGAGAATCAATAAATGGCCACAATCCTGTATTATAAATGGTTTACATCCCTTAAAATATTTGGTAATTCATGATCAATTGAAATATGGAACCAATTACATTCTATAATATGTCATAATATAGAGCAGTTTATGAAAAATTAATGTTAAAATTATTTATTATATAAATATAAAAAGATATATTTATTATAATATTGTATTTATTTATTATAATATTGATTATGAAGTGGTTTACATCCCTTAAAATAATTGGCAATATATAATCAATTATAAATTATTATAAATGGTTAAAACCCTTTAAAATCATTGGTAATATACAATAAATTATATAAGAAATTGTACAAATCCTTTATTAGAAATGGTTAAAAATCTTGAAATTATTTGGTATTTTATAATAAATTATAATGCATTAGAAACTGTAAGAATCCTGTATTAGAAATGGTTATAAATGGTTAAAATCCTTGAAAATAATTGCTAATATATAATAAATTATATAAGAAATGGTAAAAAAATCCTTTCATATCAAAGATTTACATCCTTTCCAATAATGGCAGCATGTAATACATAATAAACCAGGAATTACAATAATAAATTGGGAATGACATTGAATAATTGGTCAAACCTTTAATATGAATTTGCTATTTTATAAATTTCAATATTCCTGACGTGGTGATTCCAGGCCAGGAGCAGCAGCAGGAGCTGCTGGAGCCACCAGAGCCCCAAATTCCAGGAAAAATTCCACAACTTCCCAGGGAAAAACTGCCAGGAACAGGGTCCTGCTGGGAGCTGTGCAGGTGAGGGCATCCAGGAACACCTGGGGAAAGGGGGGAGAGCCCCAAATTCACCTG